TGTTCTTTTGCTAGCTTTTGCTGGAGAATGCAAGCCTGAAAAACAGGCCGGGTGCGAGAGTCAAAGGCCCACTGCATTAAAAAAAAAACCCAAAACCCAAAACCCTAAACCCTACACCCAAAACCCTAAATCCAAAACCCAAAACCCAAAACCCTAAACCCAAAACCCTAAACCCAAGACCCTAAACCCAAAACCCTAAACCCTAAGCCCTAAACCCTAAACGGGCGGAGCTGACCATGGAGAAGGCCCAGAAGCAGAAGGTCATCGACCAGCCGCTGCGAGCTTCGGAGCCGTGAGCTCTATCCCATCTTGGGTCCCTTTTCTCGTATGTTATAGGGTTTAGGGTTTAGGGTTATAGTGAACCTCAGAAAGTCGGAACATGGATTTAGGATGATTAGTGCTGGGATTCCCTATACTTTACGTTGAGGGCATGAGGATAATGATGTTCCAACTTTCTAGCTTCTACTGTAGGTGGTGCAAAAGCCATGGTCTCGTTTAAGGGCTTAGGGTTTAGGGTTTAGGGTTTAGCGTCGTTCGGAAGAAGTCCATGGCATGGCATGGTCGACCCGCACCCCGTCTTGAATTTCTCAACCCACACTCCAAGCCCTAAGCCCAACACACCCCACTAAACCCTAAGCCATACACCGAAACCCTAGACCCTAAACCCTAAACCCTAAACCTTAGCGTTTTAGCCCTCAACCCTCTACCGTCACAATCAACCATGGACCCAACACAGGCCCTAATTCCTATGTCTACATAGGAGCCAGAATGCCATGACCCAAAAGAGGAAGCCTTTACATCTAAATGAGTCATCATGTCATCATAGGGTTTAGGGGCTTAGCGGGTTTAGGATTGTCCTACCAGCAGTAGTGGTGATGAGGCTGATTTTCCAAGATGCGCCGGGTTTCGAGCCCAACCTGACACCCGCGCAGTGCATCAAAGCAGGGCAGCCAGGCAGCACTTGGAGGTTCTGAAAATTCGGGACCTTTTTTTACTGGGATATCTCGCAATGAAGAGCCTGTTGCTTTGTGTTTATACCAGGGTCCCGTCATGTTGACAAACTGCCATTTTCGTGCCCGGGGGAAGTCGTAAGTAAGGTTGAAACTTTCAAGCCCCAAGCCGGGAAGCAGAAACCCTGAGCCCTAAATCCTTTCACTTTGGACCCAATGTCCTATGCCCCCCCCCCCAAAGGCCCCTGTGTGGAGTTTCGAGGGTTCAGGGGTTGAGAGTGTGCAAAGCTTCTCGGGCTGATGTGAGGATGTTTTGGCGGGTTTAATGTTTAAGATTTGTGGGAGTCGAGGCCACATCATGATGCATCGGTTTTTGTTGTTAGTATTACTCACACTGCCACTATTTCATGGTTGTCCTCGTTGATATTGTCAGCCGGAGTGCTGCTGCAATGACGTGTGCTGTTACCATTGCGATCATTGTGCTTTTCTTGGGCTCGAAGCCACAACATCCAGACCATGAGCCTCACCCTAAACCCACAGCCCCAAACCGAAGCCAAACCCAACATCGTGAACTAAGGAAGGACAGGGTCCTATATACAAACTGCACAGGGGAGCGGGGTTGTATTCACATGCTGTGGTTCAGATCCGAACGTTCAAGCTCCGATTGCCTTGAGTTGTGGTACAGCCTAAACCTCGATACGCTAAGCCCAACGAAGCACAGAAGAAAACATCTTAAAACCTGTTTGACCCAAACATCCAATGCCCATTCCCAAACCCTCAACCTAAACCCGAAGCCCTCATATAGCCCGCGCAGGAACCCGAATCGGAACCTCGAAGAAGCTTGCCCCCCCTTTCTTTCAAAAAGGAACGCACCAACAACAGCAAAAAACATTCCGACTCTTAAAGGACCCTGAAAGGGTCCTGGACAGCGGAGCCTACAAAGCCACACTTACTAAGTCCATTGATCTGAAGTGAAGCGAAAGGATCTTCGGCGGATGCTACTTCAACCCGAGGGGAGGGAAGCCAGGTATCTTGGGCAGAGAGGCGAGACAGCGGGGGCTTTGGGTGCCAAGGGTTTGTAGGATGGTTTAGGGTTGGTGGTTTCCAGGTTGGTAGGATGGTTTAGGGTTGGTGGTTTCCGGGTTCTAAACCGCCAAAGTTCCAAGCCTGCATGACGTTCTTTTCTGACTTCTCTTTCCCAGTGATTACATGGCTATTGCTACAATCGAACATGAGGCTATGGGCCTTACAGAGGAGCAGATACTTGCGCTTGGCCCTGCAACCTGACACCCCTGCACCCTGAATGCGGGGCTTGCACCGCACACCGGAAGACGAAGAGTAGCAACATGCATTCTGAACTAGCAGTCGTTTTATCCCCTCATAGTACCTCTGAATCTATAATACAAATATACCACACAGCCTTTGTCGAAATATTCACAGCCCCTACATCAACACCGAATCAACACCTGAACCAACTGCATAAACATAACTTTCATCCTCTTCCTTAGCCTCCAAAAGCCGCTAGCACGTAGTGCCTGGGAGCTTCGCCCAAAACGCTCAACCATAAGCCCTACGGGTGAGGGCTCCTCTAAGGATTCTCTTGTCACGAGGTCTACATAAGGGTTCCTTTAGGGGTAGTCTTTGGGCTTAGGGCTACTAGTTAGAGGTGAAGATCGACCACAAAGAGTTCCCCAACTCCTGGTTCAAAAACGTGCCTGAGAAGTTCTTCTTGAGCCGGAGGTGCGTGCGGGGCTGATGGTGCAGGGTTTTTCATGCAGGGTTTCGGGCTTCGGGTTTAGGATTTCGGGTTTAGGGCGGGAGGATTTACCCTTAAGGCGGAAGGATTTTGGGACTTAGGTTTCTCGGGATTCAAACTTTCGGGGCTTAATTAGCCGTTGGGCTGGTTTGGATGGGAGATGGATATTAATCTTACGGGCTTTTTAGGTTTGTGTTGGGGCTCAGCAGTTTCGGTTACCCTAAACCCTAGGCCCTAAACCTTAAACGCGAAACCCTAAATTCTTCAACGAACCCTAAACCCTAAACCCTATGAGCTGGAAGATTCAACTTTAAAGGCTGTTCTTCGATGGCGCCTGGGGGGGGGTTTAGGGTTTAGGTCTAGGAGGCTTTCAACCTCCATAGCTGCACCTTACAACCTCCTCAATGGCAATTCGCAGGCACTCCTAAACTCTAAGTTAAAACCCGTAAACCCAAAACCCCTTAGCCAGAGTTTAGGGGGTTTCGGGTTTAGGATTCAGGGTTCCAGGCCTCAAACAGCAGGCCGAGAGCCTCGAGCCCTGATGGGTTTAGGGTTTTCGGGTTCGGGTCCTTGTAAGACCCTGACAGAGCGCTTGTACAACCTTTATGGAGCCTTCACAGGGTTTAGGGTTTAGGGTTTAGGGCTTAGGGTTTAGGGGATTCTTGAAGAGCCTTTTCAAGCCCTTGTAATAACCCGGTAAAGGAACATCTGTCGGAACCTCGACAACGCCTTCTGGAAGGAACCTTTGTCGAACCCTTCTGGGAGCCCGAGAGACCCCTATGCAACCCCATAAGAGCCCTTCTAGAACCATTAAAGGAACCCTTACATGAACCCAAAAACATTGGAACCCATAGAGAAACCTTTAAAGGAGCCCTTACATACAGGTACTGTGCTTCCACGAACAAGTATGGCGTGAAGTCGGGCCAGGATCAGGAACGGGCGGTAGGGTTTCTTCGAGGGTTGCTCTAAGACGATACGCGTGACGGCAGGGGTGAGGGTTTAGGGTTCGGGGTTGAGGGGTACAGGTTTAGAGCTTCAGAGTTTCTGGTAGGGTTACAAGAGGAGGAAGTGAAAGGGTTACAAAGACTATAAGGTTTCAAGTACGATTCCTGTTATACACCCGGAAAGCGCCACCTGACGTAAATGGTCGGATACTTTGCGTTTAGGGCCTCCGAGGCAAAAGACGCACTAGATAGTCGGCTCCTTATTGCACGGAAACCGGAGAAGGACCCCTCCAGCTTTTTAGGGTGAGTCAGGGGTATTCTTCAATTTGCAAACCCTTTTGTTGTTGAATCACTATCTCGCACTTTCAATCCAATCTAAAGTCTCGACCTTCGAGCCTAGACCCTAAAACCTACACCCCCAAAGCACCCCTTGCAGTCAGGCAGCCTGGGAAATGGCTGGCTGGATGCGAGAACAAGATCCCCGCGGCTGGTTTCAGTGGTACTGCCGCTTCTACCAGGCTCGGCACATGCAGTAGAATATGGTATCATATATTAGAATGTAGTATAATATGGTGTAATATAGTATTGTACTATTGCAGTGTAGTAAAATACAGTGGAATTGTGGTAGAATATGGTATCATATAGTATGATCTAGTATAGTACGATGTAGTACAATACAGTATACTGTAGTATAATGTATCACAATATAGTACACTATACTATAGTTTCGTCTCCGCGACTTTCAGGAGGAAGGGGATTGTCCCATAGGACCTCGAAGTATAACGACCCCTATGGCCCGAAGCAAGGCGACGACCAATTTGAAGACATCCCTGCGGATGGATGTGAATATGGGGGCTGAATGATTGGAATGGGGTCTTAAAGTGTAGTATAGAGCGTATAACTAGGAAGGAGCAAAAGGTTTGTAATTATGCAGGCCCCTATTTTGATACCGATTGAGGCTTGCACTTTTGGGCTTTTATGCTTTCGGGATGCTAATCAACACCCAACCACCTGCTCCCAAAACCCAGAAAGAGATCAGGGCCGCCGTAGCCCCGATGATGCTCGGCAAATCCAGCGTTGGAAAGCCTGCGCAGGCGTGGTCCAGTGAGTCTTTTGCGGGTTTGCGGTGTCGGGTGTCGGGTTCAAGGGGGTTAAGGGTTTAGGGTTTATCAAAGGTGTTGTGGTTTTGCCGGGAGACACAGGGCATGTCAAGCTTCGATTTGGTAGTCACTCGACGGATCCAAATGTAGGCCCAAAACAACGGGAGCTGTATTGTTGGTGCCGTTTCAAGGAGGTCTGATTCTGAAACTGGCGACCCTAAACCCTCAACCCCAAACCCATTGCCAGTGACTGCAACCAAAATTCACCACTGGGTCACACACTTTGCCCTAAACCCTAAACCCTAAACCCTAAACCCTAAACCCTAAACCCTAAACCCTAAACCCTAAACCCTAAACCCTAAACCCTAAACCTAAACCATTTGGGAGCCTGGGGTTCATGTTTTTTGGGATGTCTTGGCATGTTCATGTTCAGGCCACAAATTCCGCAAGATGCCCCACTTTTTCTGTGCGATTTCGAGGGTTGAAGTGTGGCTTTTGCGCGGCCCTCAGGGTTTAGAGGTTTCAGGGTTTCTGTAGGGTGTGGGGTTTGCAGTTTTTGAGTGGTTTCAGGTTTTGAAGTTCAGGGTTCAGGCTTCTTGGCCTTTTTTTTCTGCAGGCTTCCTCGGACGCTGGCGCAACCAGCTCTGCTCACGCATCAATGGCTCCGGCAGAGCCTTCGACGATGCAGGCGTTGCACCCGTGATCAGGCAGACGCTGCTTCACTGGGCTTATGAGCTCACAGAGTACGATTGGGAGCTCTGGTTCACCCGCGGGTAAAAGGCCATGTTTGCTTGTGCGTGCACGCTGCGCAAGCCGATGTGCAAGAGTTGTGGAAGAGAACAGGATAGGAGTGCCAGTAGTCATGATGGCCATCGTGGTCATTATGCTCATACTTATGCTCGAAGTATGCTCATGGTTGTAGCTATGTTCATTGACTCCTGATGACTGTGAGGTTTATGCTCGTGATGTGATGATTGATGGTGGCGGTGGTGGTGGCGATGGTCCTCGTCAGCATCGCCGTCGTTGTAGTCTTTGAAGTGGTGCTGACATGAATAGTTTTATCTATCTTCACATGCAGTGCTTTGTCACAGCAGTGTAAGGAGGACGCCCCCCAGTGTTGTATATTGCTTACCGGGCCTGCCCCGAAACCCTAAACTACTTCACATATTAGCCACCACCCTCAATGCCGAAGTCCGGCCCAAAGTCTTTAAGCCCTCGTCCCTCAGCCCGGATAGCTAAACCGCTAAACCCCAACCCCAACCCTGGCGGCAGGTAAGAAAGGATAGGACCGCTGCAAGTGGCCTCAAGCAAAGTTGCGAGTTGTCCTGCGCCTGCCACGTGGCGTGTTGTTTCGGACGTAGTTTCACGTCCACTTAATGCAGCTTGCCACTACATCCTCACGGCTGTTTCATGACCCTAGGCTTGAAGGTTTAGGTCTTGGCAGAGCCAGAGCTCTTACAGCACGTCGCATCCAAGAAGGACGTAGCAGAAGCATCTCCTTAGCCGCCGCGCCGCCAATTTATGCGCCCCGCTTCGGCCCGCTGCTCTTCGTTTCTTGATTTTGAACAGCTTGGCTTTAGGGTTTAGGGTTTAGGGTTTAGGGTTTAGGTTCTTAGGGTTTAGGTTCTTAGGGTTTAGGTTCTTAGGGTTTAGGTTCTTAGGGGTTTAGGTTCTTAAGGTTTAGGTTCTTAGGGTTTAGGTTCTTAGGGTTTAGGTTCTTAGGGTTTAGGTTCTTAGGTTTAGGTTTAGGGTTTAGGGTTTAGGGTTTAGGCGCAGGGTCTGGGCGACATTGTGTTGAATAATGTAGACACCTGATTAATTCAGCGGGCCACCTTTGTAAGGATGACAAAAGGGTTCCCAACATCAAGGCCCTTAAAGTGTGTTTTTTTTGATCAGGGGTCTACAGCCGCTCGTATCAACTGTTTCCAGGTTTTGACTGCGTAAAGTACATTGGCCCGACACTAAACCCTGAATCCTAAACCTATGTTGCTAGCTCGTCAAAACCCTGAGGAGCCATGATGAGTCTTCGTCTGGTCCTGCAACAGCTGCTCTGGCCTCAGTCAGGCTTTGCGTCCACAACTCAGAGGATCATCTCCATGCGCTCTCTTCTGTATGAGGTTTCTTCAGTTTCTTCATTGAGGGTTGGCATTCTCAACAATAGTATCATCATTGCCAGTTGCTACTTCAAGGACCATGGGTTTGTAACTATGGCTACAAGTGCATAAACTATTAATTATTGTCAAAACCCAGAGTACGTGTAGATGCCCTAATTATGACCCTCCTTGCTAAGTGTCCTTTTCCTCAACCCTAAACCCTAAGCCCTGCACTTTACATAGTGTTCTTTTGCTTCTTATTCATCCTTTCATGGCAGTCTCCATCTTGAGCGCAGCCGCCGCCGAACGTGTCAAGGCTGTGTACTTCCCTACGTTTCAGGGTTTATGGGTTTAGGGTTTATGGGTTTAGGGTTTGGGGTTTAGGCTTTACGGGTTCAGGGTTTAGTGTTCACAGAAAATAGGAGTCCCGAAGATAGACCGTACACACCCGTATTTTGGAGAATCATCTGCTTAAGCTTCGCTGAATCGATCATGTCACGTGGTAAGTATGATTGTAGGTACTTTCATTAAGGCTACAATCAAAAGTTATTGTAGGTACCCGTATTATGACCCTACTAAGTGTAATTACCTGCAGTAAACCCCTACTATGTGTAGTTCCCCTCAGTATAACCCTACTTAGCAAGTCCACTGATTCTTTGAGTGGTCGAGGTGCTGTGCGCATCGCACAGATGCATCCGGCCACGCCCGATTTCTCGATAATCGGCTCCTCCGACGGCATTTCGGGGAGGGCCAAGGGATCTATAAAGGTCCGACCGGATTTTGGGTTTTAAGGGTGTGGCTTAAGGGCTTGATATATATATATATA